GATCACTTAACACATACTGAACAGGGTTTTATATCATTTTTTAGATGTGGGGGTCATTTGGATCCCTTGTCTGAAAATTTGGGGTCATAATTGCAAATTTGAGGGTTATACACAAATCAAGCAATTGATATCTGTTAAATAGGGAAAACAATACAATGGAGAGTTAGTGAGATGATTTGAGTTCAATGGAGGAGTACCAGTATCAAAAAACATCTAATTTAAGTTTTATCCAGGTCTTTATTCATACAACAATGTATGTGTACATGAACTACATTCTGCCGGCTGCACTTTGAGCAAACATTCTGGCTGCTTATAGGGAGTCGAACTCATCTATGACAGGACCTACCGATTTTATAAACATCAACCTATTTAGTCTAAGAGGGTTCAGTCTATTTCTTACTTTGTTTGATTGCACTCTGTACTGAGAATCCTCTCTCACAAGGTGCTGATGACACCGGTATAACAAGAGCAATCTGACCAAGTATGACAAAATCTGGGTACTCATCTTCAAAGTCAGTGATAAGCACCTTCATATACTGATCAAATGTAAGAGCAGTGTTTTAAGATTTGTAAAGTGCTTAAATAAAAGAAAATTACCCCTAGCTCTATCAACATCTATGCCATCTACATCATTGCAGTGATTTAACAGGTTATCAAGCTGGTTGATTCCATAGTCAGGTAAGTTACATTTTCAGGGTATCTCTCTGGATTTAACACAACATCAAAGCAGTTAAGAATGTTCATTTCCTCAGCAAGAAACCTAACCTCCAAATTATCATATTTGTTTATGTATCGTTCTCTCAAACTTGTAAATTTTTGTCTGAGTTGAGTGTTGTCATTAATTTCCATATTTGTGTTTTTTACATTAGGAGGAACATCACCTAAATGAGTAAACACTTCATCAACTTTGTTTGAGCCTATTTCCATTTCCAAGTTGCCATAGTTGAATCTACACTTTTCCTTATATGAGATAAATTTACAATTTTCTGAAACGTAAGACTCAAATGACTGTGAGCACATCTATCAATAATGCAGTGAATAATACAAACAGTGAGTTTGAGATAAATTTGAGTAATACATCAGCTTTCTCTGATTTTTTGTCATTTTTCAGAGACATGTATATTGGCTCAAAATTGCTCAGAATCATTTTTACAGCTGATTCAACTGACAGCCAGCGAACACATATAGGCTCAGTAATCTCTTTTGCCTTACCATGCAGAACAGTTTGTAATTCTCCGAGTTTGTCATATCTGGTTGGTGAATTACTATAGTAAATATAAACAGAATGAATAATACTATGATAATCTTTACAATAGTCAATGTCTTTGCCTGCCTGAGAAGCAGCAAGGTTCAGTCTATGTGCAATGCAATGTACTGTAACAAGTCCAGAGTTCCTAGTTTTAAGTTTAGCATCAAGACCATTTAAACGTCCGCTCATAACAGCTGCACCATCAGTGCCTAGTCCAAACACCTTATGTATATCCTCGTCACAGATACCCTTTCTTAGCAAAAAATCAATCAAAGCGGTTTCAATCCCAGCAGCAGTGCATCAGTTATCTGCTCGTTTCCAAGAAAGGATACTTTCGCTTCACCATCTTCAACATATCTGGCATAAATAACAAGTTTTTTATGTACGGTAATGTCACAAATTTCGTCAAGCATAATACCAACATAGTCACTCACATGTATCTTGTCGAGTAGAGATTTTGCGATTACTTTTTCGATGCATTCTTCGAACTCCATGACGATCTGTTGCCGTTTATAATAGTCAATATTTAAACCGTTCAAATTCTGAACATGCATGAAATCGGTAAAAACATCGCAAGGGAGATCCCGTTTAGCCATAACATAAACATGATTTTAGATTGTCACTTGTACCTTGATATTTCCTCTCGTTTGCTACCTGACGAGCGGCCGTAAAGTCTGACTTGGTGGACAACATATGTGACTTCTAGAGTATTGATGCCGGATGAGAGTTGAGTTTCGAAAATTTGAACACCCGTCAGTGAAAGGGTTTTTGGTATTCGCTCTCACACAAACTTCACATTCCATAACGATTCGGTCTGATATGTAACAAAGCCATTTAAAAAGATTTAGCCACCCATCGTTGAAAGAATGATCCTTCTTTGGTAAAACGTAGGGCTTTTCACTGGACGTAGCTGGTGAAGCTTCAACGGGAGAACTAGTAGACGGGCTGGATGGCCTGCCCCCAAAGAAACAACGGAGATCGACCTGCCTTGGCACTGGCGCCATGTTTAAATGTTGAGGACCGTTAGAAGTTAAGAGCCAATCAGAAACAAGCTAACACCTTGAAAAAGTATAAACACAAAGCGTCTACGTAGTACATACGAATGACGATTTGGAGCGTTCCATTTGAAATCGAGGGAGGTTCTAGTGTTACAAGAGCCCATATAGCAACTACTGCAGATCAAATGGAGGAGCGGATTACTCACGACTTGACGCCAAAATTCCTGCGACCCGCAGGACGCACTGATGATTTTTATGAGGGTCATACGGTCATAATTATGCATCAACATATTGCGTCATGTAAAACCCTGGACTGAAACATCAGGGTTTATGCTGCAGACCACAACATAATGTTTCTTCTCCTAACAGTCAGCAATCGTGTGCTTCCCTTGTACATTAAAATTACCAATCAGTATCCTATCACCAGGATACAAGACCCATAGCACGTTTGGCTGTAGTCGATGCCAGGGCATATGCAACCTTCAATCTCTCATGCATGCTACATACTCATGGTCATGGTCATGTCCCTCACAGCTGTCAGGTTGTAGATCTAGGTATATTTCCACAGGTAAGCATGGTTACCTCCCATACGTCAGGGATAACCTGTAGTTTCACCTTTAGTACAATTGTGTGCACGTTTGAGTTGGCATAGTATTACTTCTTCAAGTTAACTGTCTGGTACTCACTCAATACCCCAACATTTCAATCAGGACGTGAGGTGGTAAAGGTCTTGGTCACACCCAGCATTTTACAAAGCTCCTTTTCACCTCAAGGTTCAAGTTTTGGTTCAAGTGAAGTCAGGCTGAAAGCCATAGTCCAGCAGGAAATGCTCCATCCAGTCTTTGCAGTATATCGTAGGCACTGTCGCCACGTAGCGTTTGAAGTGATCGTTGATTTCCAAAATATCCTTATATCCCTATTTTGATGGCTCCAGGGTTAGATAGTTTAAGTTAAAAACTGACTTGTTCTGATGCTCACTAACAGAACTCTTGCACTGTTTTATACTGGACTTTTATGAACAGTATATCGTCAGGTGGTCCTAGCAAAAATACTTTCATTGTAGGGTATTGATTAATCGTGTTGTTAATCGCCGTTTTTAAAAATTATATAATAATTTAATACAGAATTACAAGACACAAGTTTACAATCTGGGCTTAATTGAATACACGGATATTATCTATTTTTGGTTTGCCGAAACATTTTAGCTTGATTATCAGTATGTTTTGATTCATCTAAATGCGTATAATATATACATTTATGTCGTTGAAATGACATAATTATTCTGATTATCGTTGTGTTATGACGTGTGCAATTGCATCAGAGCTACGTAACTGCTTCACATATTGAGTTCTTTTTTATATTATTTATTGTTAAATTTAGCTTTTCAAAATAACCCTGACACTAAATTTCGACCTTGCGGATCTCATAAACAAACCACAATCGATCACACATATGCTTGAATTACGTTGCTTCATTCTCCCATTAAACATTTGATTAATAGTCATGCAAATATATGTATCAACAAATATTTTGCATTAAAAATCTATTAAACATGAATTATTAATTTTAAACGCTTTTTATACTATCGTTGTTACAATGTGTTCACTTATATTATTCAGGTTATTTAACCATAACTTCGCTTCTTTTTATCGGATTTATTGCAATGTTGCTTGTAATTATCAGTGCTTATTATCTCCAGTAAATTACCAGGATTGAGCTAGGTTTTTTATGTATTTATACTGATTTTGTGACACAAAGGAACACACTTTGGCCTGTATTCACCCATAAATATCCGTTTATACGCGTGTGTTCTCCCTGATTGGCTCACTTAAAACAACCAATCAGATTATTTGGCGCCAAAGATTAAAATTCCTAGGTGTGAATCCGGTTTTGTTTTTAAACAAACAGAGAGTGTTAATTAAATTAGTCTCCATCCGCTGTATCCGAGTGATACATCCCAATCGTCCTACCGTAAGTATTTTTTCAACTAGCTGTACCTGTGTTCCTGTACAACAGAATAAATGCGTGTTCACCATTAGAACATTGCACATTGGTATACCGTCTACTGCTTGATGTATCTACAGTCCATCTGGTGAGATTTGAAGATCTTACTGTTTGTGGCAGTCCCCACATATTCAGAGACTAAAAGGATGAAAATTGTAATACATAGTAATGTATCATGCGTACTTATAAAGCAGCAGTGTACTTGTAAACCAGTCTCGATGTGGCACAGTCTCGCTTACAAAATTACATACTAAACATTAAAACATCTGAAAAGCAAACCTTTAGATATTGTCCTTTTTAGTCACTTAGCTTGTTGTTGATTTCGGAGCCCATTAAACTATTTTGGTGCATGTTACTGGTGATGAGCTCAGTTTATACACAATCAATATCACGAAAATTATGTCTGAAATTAGCATAAGACAGCACGTTCTCAGACATTACTGCGTTCGTTTTGGAATATCAACTAATATAAATCAAAAGACCGTCACGAATTACGTTCATTAGGAAAGATCCTTAATGTATATCAATGAAGCGGTGTCAGAGATCACAACATTACTCTTATGTCATAATAATCTCCGGGAAAAGATTTCAATGATGGAAGTTTTTTGACAAGTAACAGATTGTCTTTTCCATTTAAACTAAAAACGAACAGTATTCGCCCATTGAGACGTGGAAGCGGGTATTGTTCTCTTGAGTGTATGTAAGTAACGCTCAACTGAGATTCATAATCAAATCGACGATCAGTCCTACGAGTACTCCTTAACGTACACTGGAAACAAACGGAACCATGAAGATATACTGTTCCTTGCTATTTGTTGTTCTAGTGTCTCAAACAATTGTAAGTATTTCAGGGTTATCAGATGCTGTATAGCGAATATTCACGTTGTGTCTTTCCTTCCTTAGCGAAAACGGAATTTGCTTTCATAAATTGATGAAATTGTGGTGTTTCTTCATATCTAACCACAGTCTCATACAAGTCAATCTTGTTGCACTAACCATTAGCAGGTTATATTATACATGCACAATTTAGTCAAAATCACGTGTGATGAAATGAACTTTTGATGCTTTTTGATCAAAACTTGTTTACTTTTAACACCAATTGTCGTTTTCTGTAAACACTATAACTCGTATCAAGACGGTGGCCAGTATAAGATGTGCAAAAAATGGCCTAACATGCCCTGAAATAAAAAGCGTTGGTAAAAAAGTATCTCTTTTCCAAATATGATTATCTAGAAAGCACTGCGAGTTAAATGACGAATGTTCTCTCTCTCTCTCTCTGGCACTAACACATTGGAATTGATTTTAATTGATAATAGCGAAATCTCACACGCGATCTGTTAGTAGAACAGATAAATTCACGAAATATTGAAAAGTAGAACTGGTACAAAACAGAGTAATTGATATGTCTCCGTCTAAAAACTTATCATGGTTTTTTTTTTCATGGATTCTTATTTGCTCAACATGATCATTTCACACGTGTTATCTAATTGTAACTTTCACTTTTAGGCAGTACCTAATAGGCGTGGTACGTTGGAATGTCTGGTATGCCGCAAACAAGACGACCTGACAGTTGCCGAGTGTGTTAAAAATCGTGAGACTGAAACGTGCGAACAACATAAGGTAAGCTATATGAATGATAAAAAAAACGTAAAACATATAATTTACATTATTTCATCGCAGAATACTACGATCTTTCGTGTTTTGGGGGAGAAAACTGAATAAATTGATTTTGACAAGATATTTCAAAAAATTATATTAAGAACAATCCATAACGAAATGTATTCCATATGCACCTATAAATAATTTTCATAATAACTGATTACACAAGAATATTATAGAAAAAGATAATTTGCTATAATAATTTGTAATTTTGCGATTTATTTGTCTTGAATTATAACTGAAAGAAGCTGAATGAAATTTCAATCTATGTAGTGTGTTCAACAACTCATGTATGAATACTAACTTTATTAAATATGATTTTACTTGGTAAAATACTGCAGTCAATCCAAAAACAGAAATTAAGATGCCAACATTCCATAATATATATTTATATGATACAAACAAATTGTATGCATGATTTCAGTTAACAGTTTATCTCGCTAGCGAATGCGCCATTGTATAACTAGATGATACACTAGGTTGTTTCAATATATACAAAATAGATCATATCTACGATTTGTTTAATGTGGCCTGATATTATGAATCCCTAGAAAACATTCAAATAATTAACTTTTTAAATTTTCTATACGCTGCAGAAATATTTTTTTTTAATAAAGGCGGACACATCACGGGTTGTTTTCAAACAAGCGCCTACCCATGGGCCTTTGCGCTTTAGCTTAAGATTCATTTCTCGCTTGTGTGCAGCCAACGACCCATCCGCTTTAGAAATAAATAAAACCGTCTTCTAACTTTGTATAGTGCAATGAATGGTCTTTAAAACAATATGTTTACATTAAATTTCAATTCCGAAATAAACGTTTGTTCAGACCCCCCCCCCCTCCAGAGAAAGGAATGATTATATCAGTTAGCTATGTATTCCAAGTTGAACACAAATTCTTTCTGTGGTCGCAAGTTGACTCACATTGTGTTGTTGCACTTATTTCATCTTTTCAGCCGACATGTATGACAGAATTATGGAACAATAATGGACGTATTATCTTCAGCTCCGGGTGTAAACAGAGTCGGGTAAAACCTAAACTTCTAAGTTAATTATGAAATCAAGTCTTCATCACTTGTAACATTAGACACATTCAATACGATATTTTCAAATTCAGTTTCATTAGAATAATAAATACAAAACCACTTTGCCACACTAATATTGTATTTTCCAGGCTTGTTCTGAAGTAGAGGCAAATGAGCCCAAGTCAAACCAATGTGATGTACAGCCGTTGCACGTCGCGACCAAGTGCCGATATTGCTGTACTATCGCAGAGGAACTAGCCCCTGGTGGTTATTGTAGATTCCCAGGTCAGTTTGTATTATTAAAATTAACAGACCTAATCGCATTAAGATAAAAACTAATCTGAAACTTTACACATATCCACTTTTTGTGAAATATACAGTGTCTCTAATTATTAGTTCCTGCGCGCAATTCAGGAAACAGAATAATATTTCAAAAGTTTTCAAAAATAATATTTATAATACAAATAATTCAATGAATATGGCTTCGTTATTACGGAATTTAACATCGTTATAACAGAATTGATGTGGCTAGTAATGCCACCGAGACACCGACGACGATCCGACATTCAATCCCGGGCCAATTTTCAAACACTTTTAATTCGCTTCCGTTCGGGATTTTGATTTGTTTGTTTGTTTTTACAGAGGATTCTTGTTTTATTTGTTATATATACAAGTAACTTAGGTTTGTTGCTTGATTCCTGACGAAGCCAGCATGGTTTAGTTCATCGGCGATATGTCACTCCGGTGTGTTGTAATGTTTGTAATTAAACACAATTTATCAGCTGATTTTCGCTGCTAGTTGACAGAACTGTTCCGACTGCAAGCTAATTATGACGTGCAAATTCGACCAGGTCTTTTAGGACAGTTGGCGTGAAATATAATAAGCGTCAACTTGCAGTATTTTATTGTGATCTATATGTTTGTTTAACTTTAACTAACTTCCACAATTGCCGTGAATATACTGATGATTATGGCATTGACAGGTGACTAATCTTCTTATATTTGCAAGAATTTGTAATTTTGACAAAGACAAAATGGCGGCCGGCATGTGAGAGTCAATCAAACTTAGATATACGCGAGCGTATTTACCATTTCAAATATAAACATGGCTGTAAAAAATGTGAATAAAGTGTCAGAATCTACTGCGGCTATTGGAAGTATGCAACAAATTCAAAGAAAATTCAACTTTATTTTATTTCATTCACATATTAGTATTAGGGCGGCGGTCGTCGCGCCGCGTCCTGTCCAATCTGGGATCCATAGCGACGTACACAACGCGTGTAAATTACATTCTTTGTTTACATGAAATTCGAACACGCGCCGCGTTACGACCACCGCGCTTTAATACTATATACAGTACTACACAATACGTATAAAGTACTACTATGTGCAATAACTCAACATTGTTTTTATTTATGGGTGTATTAAATGTACTTTCGTTTTTCCCCTCAGCATGGAAAAAATGTGTCGTTAAGGGTGATCCACATTTCACAACCTTCGATCAGTATAGATACGACTATTCCGGGTCATGTGCATATACTTTGTTACAAGACGTCAGCAACGGTCCCGGGGCCGTCCCAGCCTACAAGGTATCGGCAACAAACATGTTTATAGGACGGACCGCACGCTTGGTGGATGTGAATATTACAGTGGAGGGACATGCCGTTGAAATCGGCACTATGATCGGACAAAATGAAACAACGGTGGAAATACGGGTACGGTAAAATATACGTGGAAAACAAATTTTAGACGATTTTTTAAAAGTCAGTATACATATATGAATTACCTTACTTGAACTTTGTTCATTTCACACGAATGTTAAAGCGGGAGGGTCGTCACCTGCGCACGCGCGGGAATTGGGTCCCGAACGACGATAACAACACACGCTGAAAACGCATAGACGCTTGTTTGTAAACAATGGCACGCTATGACCATCTGACGCATGCGCAGGTGACGACTCCCCCGCGTAAACGTTTATATTCCATTACCACTAACAATTGTATTCGTCAAATAAAACACATGCTTTTCATTCTCAGATTGACGGCATATCTCCCGTAATTAATTCATTTCCCTATGAATTGAATGAGGGTAAATTGGTTATAAACAATACGAAAGGGGGGTACATGACTGTCAGTGCACCCATGGCAGGATTGATAGTTTACTGGAACAAGAAATACCATCTCGAGATATTGCATGACACGACAATGGTAATGGAAGGCAGGTTAACGATTGGGGGCATGTGTGGTAATGCCAACGGTGATAGTGATTTTCGAGATGAGTTGAAAACCAGAGGAGGTCAACCAGTTGAAGACGAATCTGAAGAATCCGTCAACATATTTGCAAGTAGTTGGGAAGTTACTGGAACGTGAGTATTAGTATGGTATTTAAATTTAGATGGCATTCATCACGCAATCGTGCACCATGTGGCATTGACCAATCAGAATCGTCATAATATGCAGTGTGTAGATATTCATTAACACACCAGTAAAAGTGAAAATTACATCATCCTCAATAACATTTTTGTTTCTGTTTTCTTTATCAACAGTTGTGTTTCAGTGTGAACGAATTGACTATATATTACAAGACACTACGTACGGACCAACACTTTAAAGACGTGAATGTATTATGAGGTTATTACGAGGATACTGCAAAGTATGCACGAAGACAGTACAGCGGAAGTATCGACTGACGCGCTGCGGAGGTCGATGCGATCGCGTACCGTCTGAGTGCATACTTTGCAGTACCTACGTAATAACATTATTATTATAATATCGTAGAATGAAAATACCCCGTAAAATACCACAAAATTATGTCACGCTGTAAGTTATGACGTTACGGCAACAGATGTATAATAATATTACAGAACCGGAAGAAGCAATTTAGTTTTCCTGACTAGGTCGTTTTGCATGTAGAATTGTTCATATGATGAATAATAAAGGGTTATATAGATGTAATTATCTGTGTTGTTATTCCTTCTTTTCATTTATTCACGGTTTTCCCAGCACAATTGATACAGATTTTAATTCAGTGACAACGTGCAGTAAAATCTAATGCGTTGTATAAGTATTTATATTATGTCATTAGAAACTGCCCGGTTTACGACATTGTAATATTCTTTGGTTTTACCGTGTAAAATGGTATTAAAGTAATAGTTCATAAAAACATGTTAGTGCAAAAATATAGAGAATAGAGCAAATTGTGTATATATTCTTTAATATTTCAGAAAATCAGAAACAGAAACTCGGATTATACGTCAGGAAAAAGTATGTTAAAATTTCAGACGGTACTGACTTGAATCATCTAAAATTACAACTGATGTGTTTGCCCTGGAATGTAATTATATTCGCGTAATTACGACGACGCAGTGAAAATGTTTCACGTTTGTGTTTATATTGCAATAAATGACAGCGTTTCTGAAATCCACCTCATATGTAAAAGGTTTCCCATCTGGTACATCACCGACATAATTTGGTTACAAAATGAGAAAGAGCAAGCTCGTAACTATCTCATTCAAACGTTCATGTTGTATGATTGCAGATATTTATTCTCACGCACTGAATTTGAAAAAGAGTCAAGCATACCTCGACTAATTGTTTTTTGTAACAAATAATAAGTGTAATATATAGTCGCTTTACGCCGTCGAATATTAATTATAGCACTTATTATTAATTGACTCACCACCAGACGTGAACTTTTCAATGCATAATTGCAGTAAATATTTCTACCCGACGATGAAGACAAATACTTATGAATACCCGATTTCTATACATCATGGTTCAAAACATTCATATATCAACTTTTTCCAGTGCAAACGACATGCAACTATTTTATCCAAATATGCTCATCTCGCCATTATCTGTAACGTTTATGTATTGGCCAATTTCTCACTTTTTTTTTTAAAGAACCATCTTTGTTCCTATTTTTTAAACCAAGTGACATACATATTGCTCAAAATTATGAATAGATTCTTTTGTTACCGCTCACCAGAAACGTTTTGAAAAGGTAACATTATCTCATATTCCTATTCAATATCACAATCTGAAATTCCCAACAAAATTCCTTTATCAGGCAGATCTACAGCAACTAATCTTGTCAATAACATTGATAACACTACGCCCCAAATTGATTTAGGATAATTCCAGTGAAGTTACAGTATTATATAACTAAGTAATATATGCGGTAAACTCAAATCAGGCTTTCCTTCATCCTATCAAATAGATTACAAAGAGTAGTCATTGACTTATTATCAGCCCTGAAGACTCATGCTTACTCTATCTGTGGTGTTTATGCACTGGGGAAATACTAGCAGTCTGGCACACGTGTTACTGAAAATCAACTAACAAAACGGGCTTCCATTTTACCAGGAAAAATTATGCTTCATAATTTATTTTCCACGTACTTTGTTAATGTTAATAATTTTCCAGAACCCAACGCGCGGGGTCCTTCTGGCAATATACATATAACAGTAATGAGACAGTAATAAACCAAATCAAAATTATCCTAATTAATATTAATTAACAAATATTGCAAACAGAACGGGGACGATGGGCCGTTGTTTACATGGCGAAAATTCGTATTCAAGTTTTTGTCTTTCATGTCGCTCTTTTTTTTCAATGCTGTAACTTGCACTCGCGGAAATGGTTATTTTGTTTTCTCGGGATACTATTAAGTAAAATCAGACTAAGGGCTGTACAACTCCCAACTGCTAAGAATAGCCTCAAAAACATTTACAGTGAAAGGTAGACACGTCCGTGACAGTTCATGGCAGTTGTGACAGTATAGATGAACTATGGCATTGATTATTTGCACTGTGTATTACGAATTCTGGCCATGCTGGTTGGTGTCGATATACCTGGGTAACATTTGTTGACTGTGTGTACCTTACCTGGTATCTAAATATATGTACACACCTGTGCACAAATGTTGAACACCTGTTTATCTAAATGTATACCTTTAACACTTTGGTAACGTGCTCAACCAGACCTTGCACCTTAGCGAATAAAATGGCTAGGGCTATGCAACTTTAGTCATTGTGCTGCGTATGAATTTGAAACGAAATTTAGACATTTTGGCCAAGAGTGGCGTTCTAACCCACATGGATGAAAAGCCACTAACTACTGTGCTATTACGGATTCCAATGACCACAATAAACATTAACAAAAACGTATTTACTCAATCCTTTGATTTTTAAAGAGTCTTGCACGCTGACCATGCAAGGTGATGGTAGAAAAAGAATTACCATTCGAAGGATGATGAGTTTTGACATTTGAGAAACAACGCATGTTCTTATAACGGTTTAATTCTCGTGTTCTTAGGCGTTTCGTCAGGTATCCGGGATCGTTACATTCGCAAACCTTACGACCAAGCAAAGACACACACATATTGAATTCGTGTCAACTTCTAGTCTCAGTTGCCCCGTGGAGAGCTCGCCAATACTGACTCGCCTCGCGGAGAACTCGCCAAGACTGGCTCGCCTCGCCGAGAACTCCACAAGACTGCTCCAAGACTAGCGTTATTCACTTCTCCAATCCTTAACCTATCACATGGAAGTTTAAGACCTTGAGGCGTGGCCTCCACACATTCCACTCGCATGTAGTCAATCACACGAAGTATTTAACACGTCATATATACTTGAATAATTGCCCGGCATCTTAGGAGACTACACATACCAAACTGTCAGGAATAACAGTCCGTTGGCGACATTTATATCTGTAATTAGTTCCAATCACTGACTGTACCTCTGTCCAGAACCTTGTATAAACCTAAATGATAACAGGTTATGGGAGACTGTTGAATGATATCAACCAGCACTTCACTAGTAACCAGCTATCAAGTCGGTATCTAGACACATGGAAATAAATTCATGACATTCTGATCAAGTAGATCTGTCATCATCCTAATTCACGATTCACAGAAACCATTGGCTTTATATTTAGCCCGTATGCGAATGTATTGGTTAAAATAAAACTGTAAAGAAACAATTTTAAAAAATTAATTTTTCACAGAGAAAATATATTATCATACAAACAATTTTATCAAACATTTCTTCAAACCTAATGGCTGATGGAGGGTTTTATATATTGTTATATTACATTAATTGTATTTTCATAATAAAAGATAAAAATTCAATTAAATTGTATAGCATTTAATGAATGAGATTCGATAGAGGCAGGTAATCAATTCCCTGCACAGTAGTAATTGTTACTGATGTCAACTTGTGATTCATTGCCATTGCTGAAAAATGAGCATTCGTAATTGGCACATGTATATTCTCCAGTAAGTTTCTTGACAACTGGTATTCCTAATAATCGACTGTAGTTTTTAAAGATTCATCAGCATAGCCAACAAATAACAAACAGTATTCGATTTGTTGTGTACTCACTATTAAACAAGTAGTTTCTTAGTTTCTATAATCGAGGAGTCGTACGTTTTTGTTTTGTTACCACATGAGCTACCTGGGACCCATAATTCCCCGTATTAAATATTGGAGACCTAATTTCCAGGGATGAACACGCTCTAGTAACTACACACAACGCATGGAATCTTATAGTATGCCTGCGAGCAGATCCGCTTAGACTCGATTCATCATTTTTCCTATTGGCAAAGCGTTTGTTACTTGATGTATACTAGCCATTAACATTGTAATCAATATTTCAATAATAATAGGAGATCAATCTTAAACAATTCCGTTGACATCATTATTTGTAGAACTGCCACAGTTAAGGATAGCTGGGCATATTCATATTCAACCTTGTATTTTTATGATTCAATATGCATTTCCAAGTATTCTTGGAATAATGATCTACTTTTTTGCTTTTGTATTCACGAAGTTCAGATGAATGTCAGGTAAATTCCAGCGCTCAAAGAAATTTGCATCGGCACTTCAGATGGCTAACACGTAACGAGTAGGCCACCATTACATTCTGGGCTGACATAATTCAACTACACGCACACTTTTTAATGGTAGATGATTCTGATCACAAGTTTCTGTATGTTGACGTTGGAGAATGGCAGCATATTGGATGTGTCGTGTTTACTGGATGTTTCCTATGAGTCCTTGAAGAGAATAAAAACAGTATACCATCTTGAAGACGTGTTAATGGAAATGAAAAAGAAACTTGGACCTCCCTGGTTGCTGGCTTTTCCTCTGAGGGTGTATTTTGTGAAAGAATATCCATAACGGATCTATAACCAATTCAGGGTTTTTCTAACACGTATAACGCTGGAGCCGGCCAAAGTCTAACTGCCAACATCAACTATTGCATTACTAACGTTAGAATCTTACTCTGTTACTTTCACAGATATAGTATATTTATCTATACCATCCTATGACTGCTGAGATTAGTTGAGATTGGTCGGGGCATGTCCAGCCAGATAGTATGCGGCGAGCTTTATGTTGCCGCAGCTAATACGACAGCGCGGATGTAACAGCTGCTCATATTATAATGTGTTTCATTTAAATTACTGTTTTTTTTTGTAAATGCAGTATTCAGTAAAATGCTTTTGACATTATTTCCCTTTTATTTTGATAATTGCTGCGCCTATCAACATCCAGATGTTCATATCATTTTTGTTTTTGTTTTATGTCGAGAAAAGGTATGGTAGATTGGGTGTGGTCTTAGTTGTCACTGCCAACATGTTTTCTTTTATTTCACAGTATCAAACGAACAATATTCTAGTAAAAATCGTTCATTATCGCAAGATTGTCTTATTTAAAATGTCAACAAATTGGTACGTACCGACTTATAATATAGTATATATACTGTAATCGACATAAACATGAAATGTACGTGTCTGCAGGTCTATAATGCATTTTTGTAACAGCTGTTGAATAACAGCGTATATCCAATATTACAATGTAGCCAAATATACCTCGTTTCGTAATTGTAAGACATCTTTCAGAATTGTTTGAAATTATACTAAATCTATATGATTCTGGAAATGATTATTTTTTAATTATTTTTTTTTTTATTTTACAAACCTCTCCGGCATTTGTCTACTTCTTACGGAATGTATAAAAGTCACTGATTGCATTTTCAATCAAGCAATGTGTCAATATGTGTATTTAGAACATTCGCGCCACAATTCCGGAACACATATGATTGTACACAAGTGTACTGTATTGGCGAATGGTGTGATTAAAGGTTCAAATACGTGTTGATACTCTTCACTCCCAAGATATGTTTTAGTCATGAAATATGTAAAGGGGTGTAGTCATAGCGCCGAGCCTTTTTAAATATCATTTTACTCATAGCAACGTACACAACGCGTGTAAAATACATTGTGTGTTTACATGAAATTTGAACACGCACCACCGTTCTTAAAACGTAAACGTACAACGTCGGAAATAGTCTTCATATATAATCTCAATTTGATGATCTGAAAACATTTAATTCGACGTTTTCTGAATTGTTTATTTCATTCGTAAATTAAGATATGTTTAAAATTATTTAGTTGCATGTTTATGAGAAAAACATAGTATAGTCAAACAGGCATTGAATTTTCAAAACAGATGTGTACGTGACTTATATTAACTCCTGAACATAATTACATTCTTTTAGAATATCAAACACGGTAACAGATGCAAACAATGATTGAAAGCATTATAGATAACACTTGTTTTGAAGCAGGTTTATGTGTCACTGCAGAACACTTAGGCAATCCTAATCCCAGATAAACAGCTTTCTAACGGAAGTAGTTTGATATGTAACACGTTGTATTTTTTACGCAATTAGGCAGTCCTAATCCCAGATAAACATCTTTCTGACGAAAGTAGTTTGATATGTAACGCATTGTATTTGTTACCCAAATTGAAGTAAAAAATGATTTACATTGACAGAGAACGTGTGTATTTAAGGAACTAGAATTCTACTCTAGGGATACTCACAGAAACTTGGTTGACGAAAGAAGTGCAAAATGAAGATATACTGTGTGTTTCTATTAATGGCAATAGTGTCTCAAACACTTGTAAGTATTCAGTTGTTATCATAACCAAATGTGGTAAATACTAAAGACTTCTCATTAATTGTGATTATTGAATTTAATTTAGTGAATTCGGATTTTTTCGTTCCTGGGACTTTTTCAGCATTCAGTAAAATGTTGTTGTTTAAGCCAGCGTGAAGCGATGAACACACGTGTGTGTTTATTTTTCAGCTTTACTGAGCAACTTTTTCTTAAATAAATCATAACACAGTAACGAAGTCTTAATTTAACAACTTTGAGTAGTTCTTTCGTCTATAAAAACACGTAATTAACGTTCACGACTCAGTTCAATATTTTATGATGCAAAACTGCTACAAGAATATCACTTATTTGTACAACGTTAACATTTACAGAATTTGTACAACATTGTTATAACTTAACTTTCTAGGCAGTACCTAACAGAAGAGGTACATTGAAGTGTCTTAAATGCCACAAGCAAGACGACCTGACAGTTGGTCAGTGTATTAAAAACGCAGCGTTCGAAACATGCAGTTCAAATAAGGTAAACCATATGACAACACACTACAACATTATGTTAGTTTGTAAATATGAGAGGTATTACGAAAACAACAAATCTGTAACGTTCTTCATATTGACGTTTCTAGGATGATAGCTTGGCTGTGAATGGGAAAGCTCCGGGATATGTTTTCTATATTTTTGTTCGACACTGAAATTACAAGTTACAAAGCGAGTCTGTTGATTATTACAATTTTTTTTATAATTATTCTACTTTTATTTCAGCCGACCTGTATGACTGAATTATGGAACAATAACGGAAAGATTGTTTTCAGCTCTGAATGTCAACAGAGTCGGGTAACGTTTATACATTGTGTTTGTTAATCCATGGGTTAATCAATGTAGGCTGGGTTTACACCAATCCTTATTGGAGTAAATACCGAATGAACTACAAAATAATGTATGTTATGTTACTATCCATGATATAGTGTATGATGTAGACAACTGAATATAAATGAAAAAATGAAATTTATACACTAAATACAAATTTATTTCATTAAGGCTTGTGCTGAGGAAGAGGCTAACGAGCCCAAAATGAATCAGTGTGACAAACACCCGCTGAATATTGCGACAAAATGCCGATACTGCTGTTCTATCCAGGAGGAACTTTCCCCAGGTGGTTATTGTAGATTTCCAGGTGAGATTGCAATTTATTATCAAGTTTCACACACCACAATTACTTTTTGATCGTGATAAAGCTGATACAATACACAACACGGTAGTTGTCTATTTTAACATCAAGCTCGAGACTCGTCATATGTAACCTGGTCATTTGTTGTGGTCTATTACAATACTTATAGAACACAATCACGTAAGACGTTTTGTGACACGCTCTCAGGCTACAAGGTTGTATTTTTCAGTATATTTCTATATTCTATGATTATTAAATACATTTACACGTGAACGAATGTGAACGTCCTCATTCAAATGACAGAACATATTATCGAATCACCAAAATGCAACGGTGTAAATGATATTAAGCAGATAACATGCTCCATGAATATAGACTGCTGTTTTGTTAGCGTTTCCGATGTTACAAATTTTAAATTCGTAAAATAAAACATGTGAGGCAAGAGTGACTGGTCGGATGCGCATGCTGTTTTAGCGCATCACGAATAAAAGATGCGTTATGTTGTTACATTCGAAAATAGGTATGTAGGAAAAACAATCTCAATTGCTCATATGAGACAGTATTACTCACACGAGTTCGTGTAGCTGAGGTTACAAAACATCTTTATACATCTTTATGCGTGTGATAATGAATGTACTTTTGTTTCGTTCACAGCGTGGAAAACCTGTGTCGTTAAAGGTGACCCCCATTTCTTTACTTTCGATGACTACAGATATGATTTCTCTGGGTCATGTGCCTATACATTGTTGGAAGATATCAGCAACGGTCCTGGAGCTGTACCATCGTATAAGATATCGGCAACGAACATGTATCTGGGACTGACCGCACGTGTGGTTGATGTCAATATTACAGTGGAGGGACATGCCGTTGAAATCGGCACTATAATCGGGGATGATGACTCGAGTGTGGACATTCGGGTATGGTAAAGTAAATAGAAAATGATATTACAAGCAAATATGTACAATTTAGTATATATATTTGTGTATTTACATATAAATATATATGATATAAATGTACAACTTATCTTGTCGTTTTGTATATAGTTATTTACTGTATTTACTATTTACTATTTAAATATTCACTATTTACTGTTTTAATCGAAATAACACATATCATTGCATGACAAACGATGTAAAGCATGACAGTTTCATGTTTTCCGAGGTATGGGACACATAATGTGCAATTTTGCAATCATTCATAATTTATTCTAAAAAGCACTACACAACGATAACAACGGTGATTAAGTGTTAAGACAGATACTTGGAAATTATAATTATAATTATTTGTAATTGATTTTCGAACTATGTGAACATTACAAAAACACTGTCGACACAAATTGCATTGTATCGGTAGCTATGACAGCACATGCACGTTTTGACTCTTCAGATACATATAATAAATTACAGTTGGTATAATCATGCTTGTACAGTAAACATTGTGGTTTCTTTTAGTGTTCTTCCAAGTTTTTGTTTATCATTTTTCTCTAAGTTATATGATATAGCACTGCATTTTATTGAGATTGAACATTCTATTATAATACAATACTGATATTAATAATAATCGTTTCATACAACCACATGTCGTTTTTATGTTGTTGTCATTTTCAGATAGACGGCATCTCTCCAACAATTAATTCATTCCCTTACGAATTGAATGAGGGTCGACTGATAATAGACAATGACGAAGGAGGATACATGACTGTCAGTGCACCCATAGCAGGATTAATTGTTTTCTGGAACAAGAAGTATCATCTCGAGATTATGCTCGACACCACAATGGTAATGGAAGACAGGTTAACGATCGGAGGCATGTGTGGTAATGCCAACGGAAATATGGACTTTCAAGATGAATTGAAAACTAGAGGAGGTAGCGCAGTTCATGACGAATCTCCTGAATCTATTGCGAACTTTGCCTCTAGTTGGGAAGTTACTGGAACGTAAGTATTAGTATGTCTGCCATTCTGTGATGTGTATGCATTTAATCTTAAACTATATTCTATGATTCAGATACTGTCTCTATGGTAAAAGACTGTTCTGACTGTTCTGATCCTGAGCGTGTTAAAAAAATCATATTATACCAATCACAATAATTATCTTATTTATCTTTTTCAACAGTTGTGTTTCGATGTAAATGAACCAACTAAGTTTTTGCAGGGCATTATATGAGGTTCGGCAATTTGACGATGAACTTATATTATACAAGATACTTTTCTGATGGTTGACATATAGTTTCATGGACTACGCAGACCGTGTGAAAGAACTGATACTGTTCCCAACAAATGTTTTTACGTGTAATGAAGAATAAATAGTTTTATAGAGTGCACAATGTTTTAATGATTCTGTTTTACTTCAATTACAATATAGCTCAGCTCAATAATATAAACAGTATTAACAAATGTAGTTATCTGAATTTCGTAATATTAAAAATACAATATGGACGAAAACATAAATTTTTAATAATGTTATTTGATTCTGCATTTTGATGACCGATATACATTATGACTTATCGTTAAATATAAATATTTTTTGCAGCGTAATCG